GTTGTAAAACAAGCCGCTCCCCCCGGTGTTTGCCATCGGGATTGGGTTTTCGTCGCTTGGCAACGACGTTGTAAAACAAGCCAATTCACTTCGTGAATTCGGCAACCAGGTTACCGGTTTTCTTTTTACCTCCGGTTTTTTTTTTGGCGGAAACCACAATGGTGGTCGAGAAGATCATGTTGTGCGGGGTGGAGAACCCTCACTCCGCGCAAGGGGGATGATCGCACCACGTTGTGTTAAAATGGTGAAGCACCCTCGAGGCAGTTACACAGTGCGTACAACTGTCTCTGGAAGTGAAAGCACCAGAAAGTAAATTAATTCATACGCAGCTGTCATCCGTACGCAAGGAAGTAAGCACAAGATGCCGAACACCCTNCCCCCCCCCCTCTATTTTTGAAGAAGTCTCCATGTACCACATTTAATAATATAATTTCCTCTGAAGTATTTGTTTGGAAAACCATTTCCCCTTATTTCCTACCTATATTTTTTGTTCTTTTTTTCTTGGGAAGGTGGAGCCCGCGTTGTGGCTGTGGGCACCAGACGACGGGCGCGACCGACCGTGGAGAAAGTTCCAGCACCTCTACTGGCCCTTGCCGTTCTCCCTGACCTTCCTGCTCTGGCGCATTGACTCCGTCAGGACCGCCATCGCCAAGAAGCTCAAGCTTGAGGTGTGTGTTGAACCTCACGCTTGCAAGGCTTGCGAGATGTCCTCGGGTTTGTTGTTGGTGGTGCTGGCGGACAAGGAGTCCCAGACTAAATAATTGTTTTCTACCATATCATTGCAAAAGACGCGTGGGGTATGTTGTCAACTTGTCGGTACGGCGGTAGAGGCGTGCATTGCCTTCGAGGCTCAACTTTTTTTTTTTGCAATGAACCCCCTTTGCGTTTTTTCTCGTGCCTGCAAAAGGTGTTTTTAGCCTCTCGAGAACACCCCCCTCTTCCACGACGTCTAGTTGCCTGACAGCCCCCCCCCCCGTGGTGTTTGTGCACTATTTACGAATCGAACGCGCCCTGTTGGTTCAGACTATTGTAGTGCTTGTATGTCCGACGTTGTGTGCACGTCGCACACCCTCGCTCAACTTTCATCGCTTCAACCCCCCACTCCCGACCCATCCCTTCCCAACATCACGTTTCTTTCCGTCATCCTTTCACTCTCGCTCACCTGTTTTGTTTGTTGACGTCACAGGGGGGTCTCCTAGCGCTGCACTACTGCTTACTCGCGGCCCTGGTGCCCCTTCCGGTGGCGATCGGGCACATCTTCCTGGGGGGATGGCTTACGGCCACCCTCGTGACGGTGACACACACGGCGGAGGAGTACGCCGCCGAGGACGACTCGTCGTACGTGGAGACGCAGTTCAGGACCACTCGGGACGCCATCACCGATGGACCCGTCGCGGAGTGAGTTTCGCCTTTTTCTTTTTTTTCCTGCTCCCGATGTCTAGTTCTTAATTTTTGTCCCTGATTCGGTTCTCGAGTCATTACTTTGCATCTGCTTCTGTTGCCTTGATTTTTGTTGCAGGATCAGTTATTGATTTTTTTTTTTCGACGTCAAGGAAACGGCTCCCTCTCCTGCGCCCGTCTCTGTGCTGGTTTTCGTTCAAAAGTTGTTTAATTTGATTTGTCATGCGGGACGCCTTTTCACCCACAAGACAAGCATGGATGACGGAAGCAGTCGCCATTTTTCACTCATGATCACTCTGCCAGCAGTATGTGCAGCCGACAGCCCCGTCGACGTCTGTCGTGCCACCCATTTCTTGTTTTCGTCTTTCTTCACGGACGGACGTGTTCCTGACCTCTATCCTTCGATTGCCCCCCTCGCTCAGTCCCCCAGTTAGTTGTGACAAACGGGAAATCATGTCATGTCATGTCATGTCATCTATAATGACGCCGTTCTTGGTGCTTGTCCCTCGCACTGACGTCACCATCTCTGCCCCTCCCCCCCTCCGCCTTCTGACTTGTGTGGGTGACTATGACGATAACAATCGTACCATGTTTTGCTACCAGATACGTGTGGGGCGGCATGCAGTACCAGCTGGAGCACCACCTGTTCCCTACCATCCCCCGGTACAAATACCGGCACCTCGTGCCCCTCGTGAGGAAGTTCGCCGAGGAGAACGGTATCGAGTACAGGGCCACCCCCCAGTGGGAGATCATCAAGGACAACTTGGCTCTGGTAAGTTCGTTGGTCCACACGCCTTCTTGTCTTGGTCGGTGATGCGATGATGTTGTTATTGTCGTGGTCACGTGGAGAAGTGTCCTGACCCCAATGCGTTCTTTGCCTCAGTCCCTCCAGTCGTGAGGGTCTAGGAGTGCAGCATGGTCATGGGCTGGCTCTAAATATAGCGCTGGTATTTTTTAAACGACATGGAAATGGTATACCAAACGACATGAAAGTGCAGACCCAACAGGAGGCTCAACCCCTCGCACTGTGTGTTGGACGCTTAAGCTCGTTGCGTTGTTTGGTGTGGTCGAGCGTAGGACGGTTATGCTCTTTGTTTTGCTTTTTCGGTGATTGTCCGTGGTCATTGTGCGTTCCTTCCTTTCCTTTCTTTGTGCGTACCTTGCGGTACCTTCGACAAGTGGGAGCGTCGGGCGTTGTTGCTGCTTGCTTGCCTCCTGATCTAACCGCCGGGGCCATGTCGCGTCCGACGCCCCACCTGTATGTACTGTAGTGATGGTATTCGAAGACAAGACACGTCAGCAACACCAAGTGTCACATGAGAAAAAAATTGTTTCGGGACGCTGAGTGACCACCCACATGCTCAACAGTGACGTGACGAATGTCCTCGCTTCGCTGACCCCAACCCCCATTTGTTGTATCAATCTCATATTATGAGACCCACCCAACCCACCCGACCCAACTCCGCTTTTCGCTTTCTGACGCGGTCGATGCCGCCCGTGTTGTTGCCGCGAGCGCAGTTGAAGCGCGTTGGATCCTTGCCCGTCATGCCCGGGTCGCCAGCCCCTGGATCAGCCGACATTGACAAGAAGTAAGGCCCCAAGTGCTAATTCTATTTTTTCGTAGATTTCGGAGAACCGTGCAACCGAGCTGAAGCGAAACCCGCCAACGATCTCGTCTTGGAAGCCCTCCAACTTGCTGCTATCCCAGAATCAATT